AGTAGCCCTCCAGGTAGGCTTGCCGCGATAGACGGTGTTGACGGTGTTACCGGTTTTAAGCCCCATCACCGGTGACATCACTTTCCCACCGTGACACCGTGATGTCTTGACTTTTTAAAGTATTCGTTTTTGCTAAAAAATTTATTTGAATTAATTAAAAATAATAATTATCAATTATTTAGTTCAGAAGAGAGCATACATTATAATTAAAAACTGAACTGCGCAGTGCGTGCCAAGAGCCAGTCACGTCACAGATCAGCAAGCATCAGGAGTCCATTTAGCACGTGTGGAGATGAGAACGAGTCAAATTACAGAAAAGCAAGATAATGGCGGAATGTGTAATTTATTTAGGCCTGTTTTATTTTCTTATTCGTTAATAAACGTTTTATGGTTCTTATTTGTTTGGGCCCACAGTTTGACGATTTTCAGCCTATGCGTGGGGTTATTTTTATTCGTTCGTTATGCTAATAAAAGTTCTGTCTATAAATAAAAGTTTTATTATCAGCGAGCCGAGTTGTTGTTTTTTGTCCATTCAAGCAATTGACGCTGAATTGCCAATTGACGCTTAATTCGAAAGTGAAAGTATAACGCATTTAAAAGCTATTTAACCCCCCCGCCCCGCCCCCCACGGTGACACCGGGATTACCGGTGTTGTGACACGTCGATTAACCGGTGGGAAATTTTCCTCACCGCGGCAACCCTACCTCCAGGACCGAAGTTGCCCAAAATAATGTATTATGAATCATTAAACTTATACAACTTTTTTTTTTTTTTAATATATGGAAAAAAAATTCACTTACTCTGTGTTGTGTTTTTTTCTGGTAATAAAATGAAGACATAAAACACAAATGTTATCATTTATCATCAATTTTAATCATGAAATTAAATAAACTTTTTGTCAAATAACGTGCTGCACAATGAGCTTTACTGTTAAAATTAAAACATGGATTATTTCTTAAATTCAGTTTTGATGATAATTTATTTGGATTAGTGTTAGTATTATTACATTGGGACATATCTAAATTCTACTGTACAACGGTAATATATTTCTGTCAAGTTAAACCGAACTTTTATTTTGACGGGTTGCCGTGAAGACCTTTTGAGTTTCTGTGTGTTTGTCATGATGATAGTTTTTCTCAAATGAAGCGGTGAAATGATCACGAAGTGACTTTCGGAGTGGATCTCGAACCTGGAGAGGAAGTTCATGCATTTGTGTCTTCATATAGGCAAAAAACAGCGCAAGCGTTACACGTGCTTCAGTGTGTGTGTGTGTGTGTGGTAAATGAAACTGCGCGTCGCGTCGGCTGCACCATTCATTCACACAGAAAAAGCAGGATTCGTATTTAAATTGTCTTTGTGGTTTAATATCCACAAACACTTGTCAACATCGCGATTTGATTTTGAACTGCTTTCTATTTATTCCTCAAAAGATTTACAAAATCCGTGAAATTTCGCGTAAATTCCTTTTTTATGACTGGATTTCGTCAGCATTTTAGGGGGGGGCGGGCCGCCCTCCTAAAACAATGGTAGGGGAAACACTGCATATAGTAAAGTGTAATTTATTCCTGTGATCAAAGCTGTATTTTCAGCATCATTACTCCAGTCTTCAGTGTCACATGATCCTTCAGAAATCACTCTAATATGATGATCTGATGCTCAAGAAACATGTATGATTATTATGAATGAATGTGAGCATGAGAAACTTTTTTAAAAACATTTTTCAAACTTTAAATATTCCAAACATTTGCTTGGTAGTTTGTTTTTATAGTAAAAAAAAAAAAAAAAAAATTCTTGAGCTAGAAATCACTCTTTGCAGATTATTTAACCATTATTTATAGATTATTTCACTTTCACGTTTAACCCTTTCAGCTGACACTTGTGTCTAGCCGATTCGCAAATATAAAATCCAAATCAAGTGTCATTTAAAAGCTTAGAATCTGAGATTCTGGATTACAAATTAGAATTTTTTTTTCACAATTTCATTCATATCCTTTTATAATAACGGTAATAGGAATCTGTGAAAACATCGCACATATGTAAGATATCATTGGAAAGGTCTCGTCCTGTAGCTTTCTTTCGCTCAGACGAAACTACAGCGATGGTTTTCCTATGAAGCCGTCGGACGCAGAGGTTTGTGCAGCTCTTATAACCGTATCTTGTGTTTCACAGATCACCAAAGGACTGAAGCTGACCTTTGACACGACCTTCTCACCCAACACTGGGTACGATGACTTAAATGCCACGTCTCAAGTCAAGTCACCTTTATTTATACAGCGCTTTTTACAATACAGAGTGTTTCAAAGCAGCTTTACAGAGATAACAGGAAAATAATGCAACAAAGTTTGTTTCTAGAAGAAAATAGCGTCACAGTCCAGCTTAAGTAAGTTCAGTGATGGTTCATTTTTGTTGTAAAAAAGTTTAGTTAATTTATATATATATATATATATATATATATATATATATAGCCGCTCTGGAGAAAAGCGCAATGTCATCGTCCAGCTCAGTTCAGTTCTCATATAATTAAATGGCATCGATGCAGTCAGATCAATATTATTGTTGAATATTAAATGAAATTTCCAACTAACCAAGCCAAAAGCCAATGGTGTCAAAGGTGACTTAAGCATTGTGAGCTTTAGATGAGGTGATTTTAACGTTCATTTGTGTTGTTATAATAGCAAGAAGAGTGGCAAGGTGAAGTCGGCCTATAAGCGTGAGTACCTGAACGTGGGCTGCGATGTGGACTTTGACTTCGCTGGTCCTGCGGTGCACGGGGCGGCTGTGCTGGGGTTCGAGGGCTGGCTCGCCGGCTACCAGATGACCTTTGACACCGCCAAGTCCAAAATGACTCGCAGCAACTTTGCAATCGGATACAAGACGGGAGATTTCCAGCTGCATACTAATGTGTAAGTCCTGCTTTAGCAATCCATTATTATTTATTTATTTAATAATCATACATAACAATCATATAATAATTCATATTACATATCAATTTACAATTATAAATCAATTTATAATAATTTTAAGAATAACTAAAAATTATTATTTATGATTAATAACTAAATATATTTACTAAATAATAATAATAAAAAGTATTTATATTTACTTATTTTATATTAAATATAAATAATAATAATTGTTTAATTAAAGTAATAACTATTATTATTATTATTTGTAAACCATTATTATAATTATAATTAATAATTATAATATAATTAATAATTATTATTTAGAATAATCTTATAATAATGATTTTAATTTGATGTATTTATTAAATATAATTAAGTAATACATAACATTATTATTTTCTAACTGTTATAATTGGAAAGAATAATTATTAACGACGATGATGATGATAATAACAACTATAATAATCATTATTATTATTATTATTTATTATTAATGACTTATTTAGAATAATTATATATATATAATTTATATATATAAAATGTGTTTAATGTGTATTTATCACAGTGTTTATGTTGATTTGAACATAACAATTGAACAGTTGATTTGAAACGTATGAATACTCAAAACCATGATACAGCAATTGATCTGTTTCTGTGTGTAAAACTGCAGAGTGTGTGTGTTTGTGTCTGTGGCGCAGGAATGACGGGACAGAGTTTGGCGGCTCTATTTATCAGAAAGTGAACGATGACCTGGAGACGGCAGTGAATCTGTCCTGGACCGCGGGGAACAGCAGCACACGCTTCGGCATCGCAGCCAAATACATGCTGGACTCCAGCTCCTCCATCAGTGTGAGTGTCTCTGAGCCAATCAAAACTCACGCTCGGATAATCTGACATACATGCTGGACTCCAGCTCCTCCATCAGTGTGAGTGTCTCTGAGCCAATCAAAACTCACGCTCGGATAATCTGATATACATGCTGGACTCCAGCTCCTCCATCAGTGTGAGTGTCTCTGAGCCAATCAAAACTCACGCTCAGATAATCAGGGCTTCACTAGAGATTGCTGTCTATGATGGGCACTTCTAGTGTAGACAGCTGTTCATTATAAAAAGAGCAATCAAGTTTTTGTTGTTGCATCGCTCCACTCACATCTGACGTGTGCTGCAGGTTCTTCACAGCTTTCCTCATATATACATATATATTAATATATATAATCCTGTGTTTCTGATGTTTTTGCAGCTGATCTGCTGTCTTCTGCTGGCGTTTACATTTCGATCATTTGTGGGAGATATTTCACAATTTGAACTCAATTTTAATTTAGTTTCACCGTACGAACATTACGGACTCTACTTTTGTTAATTTAGTTTCTTTCTCCAAATAACTAATGAAAAATAACAGTATAGTGATTGTATACAGTTATGATGGTATGAAGTGAATGGTCATACTGTGGTGAGATTGTTTTGTTGGACTACAGGAATCATGACTGTAAGAGAGAGATGCTTTAGTCATTTAACAGCATCTGTGTTTTCCTCTTAGGCGAAAGTCAATAATTCCAGCATGGTTGGGATCGGCTACACTCAGACCCTCAGACCAGGTGAGTGTGTGTGTGTGTGTGTGAGAGAGTGTATGTGAGTGTGTTATACAAATCGCTCCATCCAGAATTTTTTTTTTTTTGTATAAAATGCTTTTTCTTTTTGATTTTCTTTTCTTTTTTGTTTTGTAGAATTAAAAAAATTTTTTTTATAAAATATTTAGTTTTAATATTATATTTTTAATTGTATAATTTTTTGTGTTGTTTTAAAATATTTTTTATTTTAATTTTGTTTTATTATATTTTATTTTGTGTAAAATAGTTTGTTTTAACATTTTATTTAGTAATTTTTTGCTTTGTATAAAAGTTTAATTTAATTTTGTTTTATTTTTATTTTATTTTTGTTGTGTATCTTTTTTATTTAATTTAACTCATTTTAATTGTATAAAATATTTTGTTTTATATTTTTATTTTGTATAAAATATATATATATTTTTTATGCTTTCAATTTGTGTTAAAAATTATTTTTTTATTTAATTTTTTCTAATAAGCAGTAGTGCAGCATTATCGTAACCGCAGGCATGCAGTGCTTTAATACCGACAGTGTGTGTCATATTCTATATATGCAACGTGAGCGATGAAATGTATATCTGGGTAAATCTCATTAAATGAAGTATGACCCCAAAATCAAAATATTTTTTTGTACAGAATATGACTTCTAATTTCTTCTCTTTTGATTTTGGGATAAATGTGAGCCGGACATGAGTTTGTCCCGTGTGTCGCTTGTGTGCTGATGTGTGTGTGTGTGTGTGCAGGAGTGAAGCTGACGCTCTCCGCTCTGGTTGATGGGAAGAGCATTAACGCTGGAGGTCATAAACTGGGTCTGGGACTGGAACTGGAGGCGTAGTGTGTGTGTGTGTGTGTGTATCTCCGAAGAGTCTCACATCTCCTCACACAGACGACTGTCACACAAACATAACCGTCGTCTCTTATTTATTTGCACGGTCGATATTTCTCTCCAAACCAGCGCTTTCAATCTGTGTGTGCTTACCTGTACGGGTGATGTTTTTTGTTTTTTTTAGGAGGAATACTTCACCAAAAAATGAAATTGTTATTATTTGCTCTTCCTCATGTTGTTGCAAACCTTTAATGCTGCTTTATGATGACTTTTGACTAATCTTTATGCAGATCTTTTCTATACAACTAACTAAGTGACCAACACTATCAAGCTAAAAAAAAACATTAAAAACACTATTTAAAATAATAAAGTCTTCTAAAACCTTATGATATCTTTGTATGAGCAACATAATTATATTCTGAAAATGAATGACTTTTTGGAGCTTGACAGTTTTGAGCAGTTCCTAACTGTTGTTGTGTAGAAAAGCTTCATAAAGCTAGTAAAGGTTCACCACAATCAAGATGCTCGTAATAACCGCCCTGTAAATACTGGCAGAAGTCTAATGTTGGCCTGATCTTTTCCTTTGCTGTTCCTTTGAATGTAAATGATGGTTTGCACATGAAGCTGCTGTGTAGTGGTGTTCCAGACGCTTTTGCCGTGGCTGTTGTGTAGTTCTTCTCTCGCTGTATTCAGGCTTTATGGTGATTGAACAGGTTCTCTGGTGAGATGTTTGGAGAGCTGAAGCTGTCGTCTCTACACACACTCTCTCCAGAAACACTCATGAGGGACGACCAGAGCGTTTCCCTGCGAAACCGCACAATCACACCCGTGTGTGTGTGTGTCAACCTTTGCAATAAAGTCCTTGTTTAACTACATTTCAAATTGAATGATTATTTTATGATTCATGCCAACCTGAATGTTCACACTTTATAAAAATGTAGGTCAATTTCAAAATATTTCTGGATTTGTTATAGATAAAACCATGAAAACACACGTGTGTTACTTGAAATAGAGCGTTAACTTAGTAAAACGTAGTTTATTTTAGCAACTTGATATGGCAACATTTCTAATTTAATTTAAAGCTACACTAAGTAAAAAAAAAAATTGTTTAAAATATAAATGAGTCAATACATCATCAATGTTTCTTCCAAAACGTGTTTTTGTCTTGCCCTGATTCACTATTAAATGGTAAGCCTATTATAAGAGTTGACGGGATGGTTTTGGCGGGAAATTGCGTCATACCGTGTCTCTTCATAGCCATAAATAGTGTGTGTGTGTGTGTGTGTGTGTAAGTTGCAGGGGCGAGAAAGATTGACAAAGCCGCTAAATCTCCAACATCCGGGGAATCACCCGTTTAAAACAAACGCCGATCTGAGGAGAGTCTGCTGAACATGAGACCGAGACAGAGCTCGTAATAAAACAACAATCAACATTATATTGTTTTTAGGAGATGACGAGAACTCAGAACTAAGTAATGAGTTCAATGCCTGAACTTTGTATTTTGAGCACTTGCTTGTTTTTGCCTCTTCAATGACTCGCTTGCTTTAGTCCTCATTTGTAAGTCGCTTTGGACAAAAGCTGCTAAATGTAAATGTAATGTCTTCAGCTGGTCAGCTTGAGATCCTTTCCATCTAAACTGGTCATATTTCTTAAGCCTAGTAGTGAATGTTTTATGAGCTGTAGTAGGATTATAATTTATATCAGATCATATTAATCACACAGAGACGAATGCATGCAGTTTTGTTCTTTAACCGCTAGAGGGCCAAAAGTGATTAGACTTAGATTTGAGTCATTTTGTTGTTTTTGTCAGACATTAACTAATACTGAAAAAAAAAAATCTATAGACATTACAAAACAAAAACTGACTAAATACATAATTTACTAAAAACTTTCCTTAGACCTTTTTTTTTTTGTAAAGCTAAGGTTTCAAATAATGATATTCAAACTGTTTTATATATATATATATATATATTACAGATTCCAGTGCCGTAATTTTGTTTATTGAAAAATTTGATACCACATATACATTGTACATTTACATTTTTTGTTTCTCGGTAAAAATCAGTATTATGAACATTCGAATACAAAACTTCATATTTATTTGATCAAACTTCAATCATCCCAGTGCATATCCTCAATCGAGCAACATAAATGAATGATTAATGGCTCCTTCAGTGTGTAATGTTGGTTCATGTTAGATTTTGAACGCCAGTGTGAGGCCGTCGCCCACGGGGAGCATGCTCAGGTTGACTCGCACATCTCGATGGAGCTTCTTGTTCAGCTTATCGATGCTGATGGAGTCGACGTCGCCCTCTTCTGGGTTCACCACTCTACCGCTCCACAGGACCTGAAGGAGAACAGCACGGTTATTCGGCCCTCCGCTAACAGACACGTCGGGAATCATGACAGGGTTTTTTATTTTGCCTGAAATATTCCTTGCAATCACTTTTAAGTAAGTTTTAATTCCCTCAGGAGTTGAAAGTATAGTTATTCCAGATGCTGTTATTATGATCACTCACATTATCTATAGCGATTATTCCTCCTTTCTTGACCAGCTGCAGGGATTTCTCATAGTAGTTGTCGTAGTTGACTTTGTCAGCGTCAATGAAGACAAAATCAAACGTCTCCGCTTGACCTGCAGCCAGAAGCTCATCTAATGACACAAAACAAGAACACATTATCAAAGTCCACGTCCATTTCTGCTCAGATCAGTTTAGTTTCACGTGCATGTTCATCATAACATCTTCAGCAAATTTCATATTTAATATGATTTAATTTATGTTATATGTTACTGAAATAAAAACGTCTCAGGACGTCACTGTTCAAAGCAAATCTCACATCACATGAGACCGAATGTTTGGACTTTTCTATGTATATACTTTACATTGTACTATTATTTTATGATTCATGCCAAGAGTAAATTGTGTGCAATTGTACGGAAGCGTATTGCATTCACTTGAGGAAAAAAATCTACTCTGTTTTTCTGAATTAACAAGTTAATTATCTCAGAATTACACGATAATTTTTCATGGGAAATTTTTTTTTTGCTCTGTTTTTCTGAATTAACGAGTTAATATCTCAGAATTATGAGATACATTTTTTTTGAATTTTTTTTTTTCACTCTGTTTTTATGAATTAATGAGTTACTCATTATTTTGAGATAATTAACTCGTTAATTGAGAAAAACAGAGTAGATTTTTTTCCTCAAGTGAATGCAATACGCTTCCGTACAATTATGATGCATGTCAAGTTAATTGCAATCTGAATGTTCACACTGAAGTCACAAAATAGAGATGCTTAAAACATATATTATTATTATAGTTGACTAAAACTAAAACCATTTTCGGTACTTGAAATAGACGTTTACTGAAACAAAAACAATAAAAGTTTCATTTTTCAATTTTCATTTAGTTTAACTTGATGTACAAAAATAACTAAAACTGGAATAAAATGACTAAAAAACTAAATAGAAATATTTATAACAAAATTACTAAAACTAACTAAAAATAAAAAAATATATTAGTAAAAACTATAATAGCATCTCAATGACTCTACTGTATATTTACTTACTTTTCCCCACATTTTTTTGCTGTTCATCCCAAAAAAAAAAAAAAGCAGATGTGTGTCAGAAATCATGAGATGTGAATGTAGTCTAAAGGTGATTTGGATGAGGAGAATTTCACAATGCTTGAATAAATGCAGATGTTACCGAGAGTTTGCAGCGCTGGCTTCAGACGCACGTCGATTTTCTGCTCAACACAAGCCTGAGAAGATGTCAGATTATTAAATACATGATTATAATGTTTATGACCTGAAAATAATGCAATAGAGCCTCAAAGCGGCGAGTCTGATCTCACATCTCACATACATGAACATAGAGATCCAAAAACTTCATTAATAATTCATAAAAACAGTGCAGTGCAGAGAGCGATTCACTGAGAATCATAAACGGTCAATTAATAAACATCCATATTTATAAATATAAATTAAAGTGACTATCCATTAGAGCAAACTGGGGTTAAACATGGTTACTTATTAACTGTGTTAAAAGTCTCGTCAGTTTAAATATTAACCCACATGGTGAAGGTTTATGATAAGAACAGATCAACTTTATTAACATGCAGACTTCCTGGTTAAACATTTCATTACAGCAAATATGAACTTTATACAAAAGGGTTTTATTATTGAAAATGCTTTATTTTTGCTTCTCATGAACTTGGAACCATTATTATTATTATTATTTATTCACAATTTCAACATAAAATTGTGATGTTTGCATTAATGAGCAGTTTTATTTTCACTAAAATACCTCAGTTACCTCCTTGGAGATTTTTTTTTTTTAATTCCATGTGCAAATTTTGGCTATTATTATTTAACTATTTGCAATTTCAACATAAAATTGTGAGGTTTGCATTTATGAGCAGATTTATTCTCACTGAAACACCTCAGTATTTTGTGCAATTACACATGCAATTTAAATATATATATATATATATATATATATATATGATTTACAATATTGGGCTTGTCGAAGTCTAAGAAATAATAAACCAGCATTTTTATTATTATTATTATTATTATTATTTGGGCTACAACTTTTTTGTGTAGTACTCTTTTTTCTTTCTTTTTTAAATGTGAAAGGTTTTCAATTCAATAGTACAATACATTTTTATTGTATTATACACGCATACATAAAATCATACATCCATATAAGTGTAAAACATAACAAATAAAACTAAATTAATTAATAAGATAAACATACAAATGAAAAGTAAACTATAACTGACGGCTTAGCATATCTTGTCTCATATGATATTACTCATTCCCTTATAACTTTAAAAGTAACAAAACACAAAAACAATGATCTTTATTAACCTGTCAGATGTTACTAGGATAGTTATTAATATTGTGTTGTAGTTTATGAACAGTACAGTGGACTATCATGCGATAGGAAACGCTCAATCGTTTCAACAAATGTGGAAAAAATGAAAGTTTCTTCATGCACAATAAGACCAGGGCCGAGCATTAAGTGTCAGTGTGATGTTGAGTTTGACTGTGTGTGTGTGTGTGTGTGTGTGTGTACGAGTAACTCACCAGCTTCCAGAAGGGTCTGCCGATGTTGATGAAGTCCTCGCTGACGTCACAAGCGATCAGTTTCCCGTCTTCAGGAAGAGTGAGAGCGATGTTCAAGGCGTTATAGCCCGTGTACACACCTGAACACACACACACACAGAGTTCAGCACACGTACAGTGTTCCACACAGTATTTCTGAAACACACATACCGATTTCAATGGCTTTCTCCGCTTTGATTAGGCGGGCTAGATTCGCCATGAACTGCGCCTGTTCGCAGGCCACCATGATCCCGCTCAGCTCGTGCTCCATCGTCCTCTGCAGAAACACATCGAACGCTTGTTAATTACTCTCAAACATCTATCTGAAGTGATACCTTTGAAATTACTTTTTTAAT